GTAGATTGCCCCATCTTCCTTCCAAGGAGTGGCTGGTGGGTTTGAACTGCCAGCCTTCTGGTTAGCAGTCAAGTGCCTTAGGCGCTACACCACCAGAGCTCCCAATTGGCCCATATTAGTCTCTTCATTTCTGAAGATCTCAGATGCTGTGATAGTTTATAGTGAAGCTTCTCCATGAGAAAACAAGTTTTGCACTCATTCTAGTTTGGCATGGAGTTACATGCACTTAAAAAATATCTTTTATGGACCCACTATTTTCAGGAACTTTGCTAGATATTGTAAATATACACATAGCCATAAATCCTCACTTCCAAGAGTTCACAGTTTGGTGGTGGTCAGGTGGACAAGGAAGATAAGTTTAATACAGTGCAATCAGAGTTAATTCCTACAAATATAATTACTGAGCACCTACTTTGTGTCAATCACTGTTATAGCCACTTGGAAAGCTTCAGTGAACCAAATAGCCAAAAAAAATTATTGTGTCATGGACCTTAAATTCTAATAAGAAGAGATATACAATAAATAATAATCTTAAGCAAACTCTATAGTTTGATAGGAGGGACTAAGTACTATAAAAATGAAGCAAAGAAAGGAAGATTAGGAGTATGCAGGTGGGGAGGAGATTGCCATTTAAAATAGGGTGGTTTAAAGGATCTATGAGTGGATACAGAGGCAGGCAGGCAAGCTGAACAGGTCTGGGTAGGTGAACAGGACTACGTCCATGACCATATATAAGTTTGGCAGACAATATTTCTACATACACATTTGTGCATGCTGTAAATATATCCATGTATATAGCAGAGCAACCAGGGGGCAAAGCTATGAAAAATTCTTTGCCATAAGCAAACCCCTTGAGATAATAAGAGCTTGGTAGCTTGGGACCACAGTCTCTGGGGACAGCTAATTCAATTTGCATAACACTGTTTACAAACACAATGTTCTACATTCTACTGCAAGTAAGATAAAGTCAAAGGGATGATAATGCATGAGCAAAGGGTAAGGGAGATACATTTGGACACAAAATTCCTGCATGAGATGGAAGGAATGGGAGAGGAAGAGAGAGGTAGAAAAGGGAGAGGAAAAAGGGGATAGAAAGGGGCAAGAAAGACAAAGACAGAAAGAGAGAAAGATGCATTCAACAATCATCAAAGGAGTTATATTATCAACTTTTAATTAAAAGTATTAAAAGATGTTAGAGAAGTAGAAACAAATGAAATAATAGAACGATTTGAAGAAATGGAGAACAACTGAGAGCTGTTATCCAGGGAGATGCTATCATTGGATTCATGATTTGGAGAAATGAGTTGGCCTTCAATGTAGACAGATGAATAGTAGATAGCAAGATTAGTGGTGGAAATAACAATTAGGGGGTTATTGAAGGAGTCTAGGACAGGGATTGTGGTAGCCTGACTTTCAGTGGCAGCAGTGTACAAATTTGAAAGGACTTGAGATAAACATGACAGCATCTAGTGGAGTACTTGCACACAGAGAGGGAGAGAGAGAGGTCATGGTTGAGGCCTGGATTTCCAGAAGTATTCTGGCAGGTTTATACCAATACCTAATCTTGGCATGATCAGAGGAGGGGAAGACTTCAGGAGAGGTGCAACATTCAGTCTGCCACATAGTGATTTTGAGATGACTTTGGGACACATGAGTGTCAACAAAGTACAGATTGGATATTCAGGACAGAGAGTTGGTCTGGAGCCATCACATATAGAAAATTACTGCAACTATGAGAGGAAATAAAATCACCTGGAAGTATTTTGGTGGGGGTGGGGAGAAAAGAGAAACTTTGGAGATCAGCAGATTTAGGGATAGGTAGAAAGAGGAATTGGCACAGAAGTAGAAGGAAAATCAGAAGAGCATCCTGTCATGAAAATCAAAGAAAGAAGGAAGCCACACTTCCTTTTGGAAACAAAGAAGAGTTGAGGGAGGTTGAAACAGAAAGTGCCATAGATGTTCATTTCTCCAGATTTCAGAAAATATGCTTTGTCTAAACAAATGCAACATATCAAGGCAAAAGTGGATCAGTTGCCTTTGGCTACACTAATCCTGTGGGATTACATTAAATATTCTAGTCCTTAGTTTTCTACATATACATTTTGTCTATCAGACACAAATAGTAGGGGATTGATTGAGCTGCTTCTAAGAGTGTAACTTGGATCTAAAAGGCCTACTGCCTTCAGAAAATAGACTGGCAGGCAAAAAATTTACCCCTCACAGCCACTGTTTAAGAACTCTATCTTAAAATGAACAATCTGGATCCCTGGAGGATAGCACAACTATATTCAAGTTCATTAGAAAGACAGATGCTATGGCAATGTGTGTGCAGTGACTTGGGTCTGAATCCCATTACTTTATCTTCTGGACTTGCTCGAGCAAATGAAATAGCTCTCCTGTGAATAAAATTGTACTTTTGCATTTTAGAAAAGGCAGACACTATTTGCAAATGGTAAGAACACCAGTGTACTTCTTGGGAAGACTTGTTCAATAGATGTACTCTAGAGATGAGAGGTGGGACGGTGAGGGTAAGACCTTAAGGGAGTAGCTGGTTCACCAGATTCTTGGGTATTTGATTGTGGGAGGTTCCAGAGCAACCAAGTTCCCATCTTAGATCTATAACCATCACAAAAACAGTTCCTAAGATGCCCTTTAAACCAAAAAACCAAATAAATGGCCTTTGAGTCGATTCCAAGTCATGATGAACCCATGAGTTTCAGAGGAGAACCGCTGCATTGGGTTCTCAGTGATTGTGATCTTTCAGGAGGAGATTACCAAGTCTTTCTTCTGTTAAGCCTTGGGGTGGATTTAAACCTCCAACATACCATTTAGTAACTGAGTGCTCAACTGTTTGTGCCACGAGTATCCTAAGATTGAAATTCCTGGGCCTGAATTTAGACTAATTGTGAATTCAATGGGAAGAGCCTGTCTTCTTGTCTGTTTCTTTGTAAAATGGATTGCTTTGAGTATTCATGAAACATCCTTTCAGAATAGCTTATAGTCCTAAGATGAAATATGAGTTTTACATTTAAAATACCATTTCTTGGAGTCAAGGGAATAGCTCTTCCTTTCTGTCCAGACATACTTTCCTAAAGTCAATATGATATCACAGACAAAACAAGCAATAAAGCCAAGTCAAATCTCAAATGCTCAGACAGTCTTAAGTAGAATTTTGCTAAACAAAAACACTCAATATATTGGATTAAGACTAGCAAGTGATACTGAAAATACAATAATTATTTAGAGTAGGATTTCTTAACCCTTTTCATTATTGCTCCCCTAAGGAGCCTTTTTAGCCATTTATTTCTCTAACCTTCCTCTTCCTCAATGAAATTGTAATACCACAAACATTAGTGTTTCTGTGTATCTGTCTATGTCTAATTTGTATATCTTTATTTTTTACATTAAAGACTAATTGTTTTCTTTCTTCCCCACTCCCAAGAACTAATTTTTGCCTCTTTGGAGGTAATCTCACTGTTGAGAATGCATGATTTAGAGCTAAAAATTCCAGTCCCTGGTTTTATCTGATACTTGGCAGATAATTATAGCAAACTGATAAACCTTCTCTAGTGGTAATAAAAGTTTGGTTCAACCTCAAAATTTTCATGGGATAAGACAAAATTGCTGAATTTTAATTTTTGTAATCATTGATTCAACAAACATATAGTGTATGTCTGCTCTGTAGAAGACAGTATGCTAGCTGGTAACTCCCTAGAGCCATCCTCTAGATCAAACCTTCTTCATCTCTCTCGGCAAGATTTTGTCACAGTTTTTTGTGCCTTTTCCACACTACAGTCAGAATATTCTTTCTTAAATGCATTTGAGAGTATCATCCCTCAACATGAAACACTGTAGTCTTCTCTCACCTATAGGATAGAGTCACAACAATTCATATGTTTAGTATAAGTAAGGGCTTGGGGGTAGCACAAATGGTTAAGTCCTTGACTATTAGCTGATAGATTGGCTATTTGAACCCACCCAGAAGCACTTTGGATGTAAGTCCTGGTGATTTGCTTCTGAAAGGTCACAGCCTTGAAAACCCTGCTGAGCTGTTCTATTCTGCACACCTGAGGCCTCCATGAGTCAAAATCAGCTGAATGGCAACTTGCAGCAACAATATAAGCAAATACTGTATTAAAAGCAAACCACAAAGCACCAGTCGGCATTGAGTGGATTCTGACTCATGGTGCTCCATTTGCTGCAGAGCAGAACTGTGATCTGGAAGGTTTTCAAGGCTATGATTCTTTAGAAGCACATTGCCAGGTCTTTCAAGGTGCTTATGGATGATTTCAATCCACCGACTTCTTGGTGAGTTGTTGAGTGCTTAACTGTTTATGCCACCCAGCAATATTAGTATCAGTATATGAGTAATATTATACAGTAGCATTATACTAATAAATATAATAATATATCACATTTCAATATATAAATACTTTATATCCTTATATAACATAAATACTATATACTGGTAAATAACAGTATACACAGTAAGTAAATACTATATATTATTATAGTGTTTGCCTTGTATAAGTCTCTTCATGCCTTCCCTATGTGCTCCAATCCATTTATTTCAGCCTTATTTATTGCTAGTCTCTACCTGCTAATTTGTTCTCCCATAATACTGAAATGCTTGTATTTTCCCCAAAACATACCCTTTGGTTTCATACTTTGTGCATTTTGCAGGCTTTCTTCATTACAAAAAAATCCATTCTTTCCTCCCATATCTTTCTCGACCTAACTAAATTC